TCTACCATTTGCATGTTGGTGTTATTTTGGCTACCTCCTGCTGGTGCAGCTTCATACAGCACACAGATTGAGCCATCCTCTCCAATACGATAGGACACTTCATACGGGTCAACCCATAGAGTGAGTTCGCTCGGAAGAAGCTGGAACAGTTCCTGACTGCTCAATCCAATCCGCTGTGCTGCCTGTCCAATGAGAGGATCCATTTTATGGTTGATCCGGATACATCGGTAACCTGATCCCTTGCATGGCTTTTCTGGGAACCAGTGGTGTTTATAATGTTCTATAAAAACAAAAAAAAAATATTATCCTCCTTAATTCTGTATTCAAAAATATGTACAGTGATCATTGCTCTCTTACAAGTTTCACACCTCAAGATGTTGAAAAGCTTATTTTTTTAGCATCGTGCGACCTGAAAAATCATTATAGCCTTTATTTTTGCTGATGATTTACCTAAGTGCAGTGTCCTTTCGGAAGTACTCCTCTACAGTGTTACTGTTTCATGCTACCATACACAAAGAACAATGTTTGCCATCTGAAAGGAGTGGAATGCAACTTCCTGGCATTCATAAAAACAAACATAAAAATACAGAAGTGATTACGTACACAGCAGAAAGACTCAAGGGCTTCAAAACTCCACAAACCAAGAAGGAAAAAAGCAGCTTTCCAGCACCCTCTTGAAATCACACCCATGGTTGGTTTCTCACGTTTTAAGAACACCCAAAAATAACTAAGGAAGAAGCTGGACAGCATTTACCAACTGACTCAGTAAGCTATACTTCACCACTGCTCTTCCCTTCCTGTTTTCCAGGGCAAGATACCAATGACTACACTTACCTTGGGAGTTTTATCCCACCCAAAAGCCTATCTATCGGTTTGAGGCTACTTGTAGCCACTATCAGGCAGACTGGGACAGAGGCTCAGCATTACAAAGCCCACAGGGCAGTGAAGAAACCCTCGGCATTTGAACCTAACCGGGGTTTGTCGGGTGGCTATGAGATGTTTCCAGAAGAAAGGGGAACTGAGCCTCATCATCCACCGCTGAATTTTAACAAAAACAAAGCAACTTCGGAGCATTTTTCCTTCTGGAAACCGGGCGGTTTGAACCCTTGGAGCGGAGCCCAAGTCCGGGCTGCTCCGAGCGCTTTGTCTACGGAGCCCGGGGGAGGGGAGGGGGGTGAAGGGGAGCTGCCTGCACGACGCCCGACCCCTTTTGTTTACAGCCCGCTCCCGCCGCCCCCCCCACCCGCCGGGGGGCGGCTCGTTACGGGGGGGGAGGGTGGGGTGTCCCCCAAAGCAACGAGCCACGGCCGCCCAGCCCCGCTGACCCCCCCGCGACGGCTCCAGCCCCTCGGAGGGGCCGCTCCTCCCCGCTCTCCGGCCACCGTCGGGGCGCGGCGCTGCCGCGGCCGGTGCCGAAGGACGGGGGAGCGGCTCCCGCCGCGCCCGCGCCGCCGCCCTCACCTGCCAGCAGCTCCTGCAGGCTCTGGCTGAAGGTCTGCAGCTGCCGCTCGTTCATCAGCCCCTTGGTCCGCAAGAACTTGGAGATGAAGCCCACGGCCGCGGCGATCTCGCGTATCATGCTGGCCCGGGTGTACAGGGCGGGATGCATGGAGGCGGCAGCGGGCGGCAGCCAGCTCTCCGGGGCGGCCGGCGCTGGGACGGGACGGGGGGGGGGGAGCGGGGCGAGCGGAGCGGGGCGGGGGGCGCGACGCGGCTCTAACTGGGCGAGGAGCGGGCGGCAGAGCCCAGCTCACATCCCGGGGGCGGCAGCCTCCGCCTCCTTTTCCTGCGGCAGGGGGGCGGCGGCGGCAGCAGCGGCGGCCGCGGCAGCGCACCCCGCATCTCCTGCTGCGAGGGGCGAAGGGAGCTGCCCGCCGCCCGCCGCCTCTTATAGCCGCCCGCGGGCGGAAGTGGCGTCAGGGCGCCGGGGGCGCGCCGCCGCCAATCGGGCGATCGCACCATTGTGACGGCGGGCGGCGGGGGCGGGGCCGGCGGAGGGGGGTGGGGTGGGTGGGTGACGTAATCGGTTGTAAACAAATAGAGCCGGGGCGCGCCGAGGGGTGCGGGGACGTGCTGTGTTTCGCGTTGAGGGGGCTACACCCCCACCCCACACCCCCCCCCCCAAAAAAATCTATCTGTGTGCGCGGCGTGGAAGGGAGCGGAGAGGGCGCCGGTTCGCTGCAGCGCGGCCCCGCCCGAGGGAGAACGGCACCGGGGTGGGGGGGGGGGGGGGGGTGCGCGCGGCGCCGAGGCCGTCCCGTCCGCGTGAGCGGGCGCGGCTGCCGCGTTCCCGCGGCCGCGTGGGCACGGCGGCGCGCGCTGTCTCTGGGGAGAGCGGAGCCACGTCAGCGGCGGGGGCGGGCGCGGGACCGCGGGAGCGCGTACTCGCGCGCTGGTGTCGCTGCAACCCCCCCCCCGCCACCCCTCTCCTCCGCCCGTGGGGCGCGCTCATGCGTGTCGCCCCACGCTGAGCCCGGCACGGCGGGGCTGCGCGAGCATCCGCGGGGTGTTTACTTGTCCCCGTGGCCGCGGGAGGCGACGTGAGTTTTTCCCCCCTTGCCTTCTCTCGGCGCGCCCGTGGGGACCCTCCTGTACCCCGCACCCCGGGGGTCCCGAGCGCGGCTTTGTCCTCACGCCTCTTTACCGTGGGCTTTAGGCCCGTGTTCCCGTGGGGGGGTTCTCCTGGCAGGGCCCTCCACGCGGAGCGAAAGCCCTGCCTCTGGGCGGCTGGTGGGCCCCGTGGGCGCAAGCAAAGGGAAGGGCACGCAAGTCAGCGGGGCCAGTGTCTTCTCGCTGGCCGAGCCTCAGCACCTCTTCTTCGGCGACACCCCAGAAACAGCACATACGGTCTTCCGCGCACGTCGCGCACGCTGCTCGGTGGCGTATTCTCCCTTGGGACCGTGCAGTTATCCCGGCGTTTCTGCCACTCGAAGGGAAAACCCCTGGGTGGACAGGGGGACTGATACGTGTTGCTCAGCGATGGCCAAGAAAAGCGTAAAGCCTCAAGCCGTCTCCCTTTCTGTAAAACCAAAGGGCAGATGAAAGAAGCAGCAGAAGTCCTTTTTTTTTTTTTTTTTTTTTTTGTTTTTTTTTTTTTTTGTTTTTTGTTAAAAAGCAAAGTGTAGCTACTTTGATAGAAAGCTCATTCTTCCCGTCGGGGGTCTGCCCTGCCCCTATGCCAAGCTGCAAATGAAACGCAGCCTGGTATTTACATGTACACTTCTTCCAGTCAAAGATCAAAAATCAGGCCATTAAAGGTACAATAATAACACACAATTAAATCATAAGATTGTTTTTTCAGTAAAAATAATTCAGTAGTGAAATATATAAAAATACACGTGTGAATTCAAATAAAAGATGAAAGTACACCATTTTTGCTTGTCTGGTGTTAGAGATGTACCTGAATAGTGCTTTTGGTCTTTTTTTCTGCACTCAGGATCTGTGCAATCTTAGACTCTCAACCTCAAGGGACTCTGACTCTATACACAAGGGAGGGCTGCAAAACACCTTCAAAAGATAATTCTGAGAGCTTAAACTCACAGCTTTCCTGCATACTAAAAATGTTGGTCTGGATTTTAGAGCACAGTCTCATTTATTTTGCTCCCATTAACCTCTGAATATTACATTAGTGATCATCAGCTGTCCCTCTGTCCCGTGAGAAGGGAGGAGCTGCCAACCTGGACACTCCTCTTGCTGCACCATAGGTGCCAGCCGTCTGTCCTTCTCCGTGCTTCCGCAACATATGTGGGGTATGTCCAGAGCTGCCATTTCTGCTCTGTTCATAGGTTGGAATTTGCTGTTCTCTTTCAAACCTCGAAGGAGCAGATGCTTCTCTTCTCCTTCACAGCAAGGGGTCCGTCATCCTACAGGAAAATATTTTTCTTGTGCAAATTTGACATTATTCTCAGAGCATCACAACTACATCAAAATAACTACTGGAAATACTTCAACAAAATAGGATATAATGTTTGCTAACTTTGCTTGAGCCTGAGCTTTATCTGGGCCAGTTTTTCATCTCTCCTATTCAGTTCCAGCCAGAATCAAATGTTCAGAAGGGGTTTTAGGAACTCCAAAGTAGATATGGTCTTACGTAGTAGCACCCCAAAGCATGAGGTTTAAAATGCTCTCTGCTTGCTTCAGCAGTAACTGTTAAGGACAGTAAGGCTGTTCAGTTCAGATTTGAATCAACCCCCTTGAATTGTGCTTTTGCGAACATAGTGTGGCAGCGTGCACCTCATGACACACTGCGAGAGGGAAAGAAATTGGAAAGGTTTTTTTTAATTTTTTTTTTTTTTAAAAAGCTTGCTAGACCGTCAAAGGATTTCCTTCAAATGTCCTGCAAAGCCAGTAAATACAGAGCATTTTAGAAAGCAAGAAGTTTTGATAGATCCTATTGCTTCCAAACAGTTACTGCATGTAAAGAGGGTCTTGTCTCTGGAAAGGGTAAATGGCTGTGCCTACAGATTCAGCCTACTATGAAATACCTTGGTGCTCTTAGTGTGCAGCCAGCAAACAGTTCAAGTGTAACTTTGAGGCCAAGGCTCTGCGAGATGCCTGCCAGCAGGACCTCATTCCTAGCTGTGGGAGGGAGCAAGGTAACAGGAGCTGCAGATGCAGAGAACCATCTTGTTTTCCCAGTCCAGGCAGGTCCGCCTCCATCTCAGTGCTGTGGTGGGATAGCAAAGGAGCTGCTGCCATTTCCTGCCTGTGAAATGCTCCCAAAGGTCTATATCTTTAAAGTATGCCAGCTCTTGAGATGATGAAGACTTTGGCATACAGCTCATGGGATCAGGGAAAGTCAGCTTTCCTTTATAGGATTTCAGTGGGGAACATCAGAGAAACTGGCCGTGCCTTAGCCTGTTGCTGGTTTGCACGTTAGCTTCCTGCCAGTATGGCAGCATGTTTCACTGATCTACTGTTTTGCTCCGAACTTCTTTGACGCCTGTACATTTCAGGATATATGAAGATATATGACTTTCTCTGGCCAGGTCCCAGCTGTGTACTCCTGTCTCGGCAGCTCCAGACCCGGAGGAGGCAGTTTGCCTGGTCAATAGTGCAGGATACTCACTGATACGTTAACAGCAGGGTGCTGAAGAAGATAAATGTAAACATTTAACAACTGCCTTATTCAGCCCGTCTGATACTTTAAGTGAAGCAGAGGCCCTAGGGAGAGAAAATAAAGAAAAAGAGTATGTGATCGTATAATTAAAGACTGGATCATAATGAATATGCACAGAAGGGTTGAGTTAAGGTTATACTGGCAACCCAGCTTCTGATATTTCCTAACTTTTAAGCAATACAATGCAACCTTTACAACATTTCTTTCATGTTGTTTTGGCAGGAACTGTTTCTCGCCATTGGTTTGGAGAGAGCCTAGCACTTCATGAGTTCTGTCATAATGGAAATAAGTAATAGAAATACAACTACTTTTATCTGTGCCACACACACATACACACCCTGCAACTATTGCAACATGCTCATTTCCCAGCTTTTTCTGAAGGAAGCTACTGAGTGTTCTTTATGGTAGGTAGGAAGATTCAAGAGTTCAAAGGAGAAGAATTGTTTTTTAAAAATTTGTTCTGGTCCTGGAATGTGAATTAATATCTATTTATTCACAAAAATAAATATACTACATGTACAACATGGATGTATTTTTTTTTCCTGTTTGGCAAATTATTCCTGACAGAATAAGGAAATGCAGGAAAGTGTGAAGGTGTTATTGGCTTTTTATGCAGTATCTTGTTAAAGCCTTTCAGTGTAGAAAAGCATTAGGTCTGTTCTCTTCCTATTCCAGTCAGTTCTAGCTATGATTTTGCACTGTTTGGCATTGACCTAATAAAGAAGTAACAGTTGCAAAATAGTTGATATTTGTTTCCAAAAAGCTTTATATGTGCCTTAGATTGGCATAAGCTTTTTCTCACCTTTTAGCTGAAGAGTACTGTTTGCAATATATAAAATAAAACAACAATCCATTCTATGTAGTGTTTATTTTTAGTGTAGGTTGATGTTATTAATATACCACATTATTTTTGTCACTTAGCAAGCATTTGAAAGTGTATAACAAGAGGTTGCTTCCTTATTTTTTTGTTTTTGCAGAGGAAAGCTTACCATGGGATGCATAAAACATTTATTAATGTTTTTACTCTCTTTAGGCTTTGCTTTGAATATGTAGTTACAGCTGTAGAGACATTAATTTGCTATTCCAGGGGGCAGATGTAACCCAGAGAGTCTGTAGCCAGCCCTGCATGTCCACGCTTCTGCCCACAGGACCCCACGGCCTGGTTGTGAGTTGCCACTTTGTTCTCTAAAGTTGTCAAGCAGGCACCTCTCAAGCTACAGCGGTGATACTAGCATCCGTCTCGGAAAAACTTTGGCCACACAACATGGATTAAGATGGAGACAGAAGCGGGTATCCCCCCTCACTGCAGAGTGAGTGCCCTTCAGTGCCTGTCATGGGGTATCTTGGGCCTAATTTCTTTCCTGAAAGCCAGTCCTTGAGAACAGGCTGCCATTCACATTATGTTGCCACAAGACATGTTTGGACTTCAGCTCGGGCTCAGAAATGTCTTACGGGTCCAGCCCTCTTGTAAAGCGGCACTCCACAGTGAGGCAGGGATAAGGGCTCTTCAGCTCTGATTGTAAGGCTTTCTCTCAACCCAGCATTACGACACCGAAAGTAACCTCAGTGTTGTAGCAATGAGTGTCTTATCCTGAAGAAGTGTGGGGGTGAAGAAGTCAGTCACATATTCTTCCAAAATGGAGAAGTCTTGCTTTTGAAAGCATAAGATAGACTGGTATGAGTCAGAGAAAGGGCAAAAGTCTGATTTGTGACCACACTGGGAACTCCCCTCTTCCTTCAACGTGCTCATGCATGCACACACACGCACACACTCTGCATTTGTAGACTGGTCTATCAGGCAATGAATTCCTTAAACCATTCCTCACACGAGTCCTGTTTAAGCAAGTGAGACAAGTTCCATAAGCCAGAGTCCCATTCTGCAGTCCAGCAATAGATAACAAACATTTCTGCCACTGCAGAAAGCTTGAGGGAAGGTGGAAAGACTCGGAGGGGCAAGAGGAAGCTGTCAGCAATGGTTATAACTATGGCACATTCTCCAGAAGTAATTTCAGGAAAACCCACTCATGGCATCCTAAAATGACAAGGCTTGCTCTGTGGGGAATAAGTTTGATTTCAAAGGGACTACTCACAGAGGAGAGAGGAGATATTCCTTGTGGCATGAGCCTCAGGTGGCAGAAACCAGAATCTGGCCGGGACAGATTCAACAGACAGCTTTTCCTATGCTGTTTCTTTGATTTCAGAAAACAACATGTGACAGCATGCACATGTAGCAGATAAAAAGCAAATTCAGTAAATAGTATTCTGTTTTTGTTCTAAACATGAATATATATATTTTTTTTTTTTTTTGAAGCGGGATAGCAGCAGGTGTGGCAGCACACGGGGCGCTTGTTTTTAACAAAGCAATCACAGTTTGGATCCAGTAACAGCAAAAATTTAAGAAGACAATAGAAGCAGGTTATCTGCAAGCTTGTCAGCGGAGAGCTCCTCACAACACAGAGTTATACATAACCATTATTACACATCCATTTTTTCATTTGTATGCACTTATGAATAAAACAGGAGAGGCTAATATAGATGAGATAAACAATCAGACATTGCAGTCCTGCATGGGAAAGTTAATAACAATAATATTAAAGTGAAAGGGGCTTGTAAGTGAAAAAAAGTGATTTAACCATTTGTTGTCATCTTCTGGATTCAAATTATGTCATCTCAATTTCCAAATTTTTACTTCTCCTGTAGTTTTTCATACTGCAGCTGGAATGGGAGGGGTGATAAGGAGGTTTATAGTTCTCTGCTTCCCAGAGCTTCTCTTCTGGCTTGCAGTATAGCTCTAGGGAGGCCTGAAATCGTTTTAGAACTCCCTGGTCCGTAGTGGCTGTATCTGGGCTCTTGCACTGACTGGTGACAGCCAGAACAGCCCGTGTCAGTCAGCACAGGGCTGTTGGTCCCCCCAGAGTCAGACAGAGGGAACCATCAGAGGCAACCTGCTGGAAGAAGAATATTCCAACACCCACTTAGGCATTTCTTTGTGATACTGAAGCAGCTTGAAGAAGCAAGGGGAGGCCTAACATTTAGTCCCATGTTTAATCCCACTTTACATGGTGTTCTTGAAGGGTTGGTTTCCGGGTTTGAAGGCAGTGGTTCCCAAACCAGGGCTGTCACCCTCAGCAGAGGTCACAGCAATGACAAGTAGTGTCCTGAGCTCAATCAAGAGTCGTTTTCTTCTGGTGTTTACGCTAGTAGTTGAGCAGGCATGAAATCAGCAGCAGGGAAACAAGATTACAGCTAGAACAAGCTTATCAACCACTGCGTTAAGGACAGCAAAAATCATTATGGAATATCATTTGGCCGTCCGCATAGTGTTTGTCCACAGAATAGACATCTAAACGTCTGATCCATTTTAACACATTTAATCATATTTTTTACAAAGATATTTCCAGACCAGAGCTCCATGAAGTGAGGAGTCCGCCAGCCTAACTATATTAGCCATAACTAATGAATTTTAATGATACTTTTATAGCAGTATTTCCTGTCCATTAGAATTAAAACTGTGACCGTCTGAAGATTTTAGGTGCAAATTTCATTAAAATAATTAAACATTTTAAGAAACTAATATGTTGGCCCTGCAAGTATTCATTTTTCTTTAGTATTTGCAGCTTGGGTACTTTGAGTTATGATGTAGTTAAAAAAATCTAGACAGATTTTTTAAAAACCTTCAAAATTTCTGAGAAAAAACCCTTTCATTTACTTTCCAGTGCAGTCATAAAAATATCTTAAGCATCTTTATTTAGGTTTGTGATTTGGAAACTAGGTAGACTTACAAATTTATGGCTCCTTTGGATCAGTTATTAAGTAGTAGCTACAGACCGTCAGCAAACCTGCCTGTCTCAAAAATGCCTCAAAATAGCAAAACACAGAGACATTGTAATGGTAACACTGGAGATTTTAGTCTAGGCCTACACAGGCTACAAAGGAGATTGCCCACTATTCACTTATTAAGACAGAAGAAACAGTAAAACAGTGACTATACTATGTAGCTAGACATCCACACCCGCCACTAAAACTCCTAGCATCCCTCTGCCAAGGCTGGACATGATGTTTTTGATTGTAAATCAGATGCTCTTGCACGTTTCATTCAGTTCAGGGTCTGGCTTTGGAGGACAAATGTTTTCAGATTAGCTGCTTTTTTATTCTTTCACTGTGGTCTGTCATATCTAAATCCTGCATATCAATGCAATTAATACACTGCAGTAAAAACAGGCACTCATAATTTTCTTTCATTTTTCCTAGCCAACACCACAACTTACTCCCTTTCCCATTGTCATAGCACTGCTCCTGTTACAGCTTTTTCTTCTCCTTACAATGGTATTAACTCAGGCATTTTAATCAGTCTCAGACAGAAATTTAGCCTGTGAATTCTCAGGATAAAATTAATATAATTAGTTCTCTAGAACAGATTTGACAGGTTGAGGGAACATCACACTGAGAGTCTATATATTACCTTTGAGTACTGATAGATTTTCTGGATATAATCAGGTGGAAAAAAAATGTAAAAAAATCACAGATACACTGTTCTTACTTGGCTGTATAGCTATATATATATTGCTGTTCAACTGCATATATGTTTGAACACTTCAGATATGCTCGCGTGAAAATGTGGTCATTCATCCCTTTAACGGGACTGTATTGGATGCCGCATGCCTAAAATTAATCTGTTTGGCCAGTCCCCATGCAAGTTGAACTCTTTCCCCAGAAGCAATGAACAAACCTGAACACTCAGTAACTTACTTTCCTAAATTCACTCATGTGAGTAATCTCCCTGACTTTGATGAGATTATCCATATAATTGCAAATGAACAGGATCATGATTTTAGGGAAAATAACCCAAGACTTTGCATCTCAGAGCTCCTACGGCATGCTTTTTCTCCTTTCTGAGAGATGTGCCATAAACTGAGGAACCTGCTTTGTCCTCTATTGCCTATAAATTGCTAATTCCTACCAAAAAAGGAAAAAAGAAAAGAGAAAAGAAAAAAGAAAAAAAAAGTTCCTAGTTTTTAATGGTACTGTTTTTACAGAACACAAG